ACTTGAATTTGATTGGATGAAATCATAAACCACAAACTTGGAAGTACATAATGCAGCCAGCAGCTTAATTTTCCTTGTACTGCATTGCATACACATATGTTCTTGTAACAATTGTTTGAATTGTGAAAAAAAGTTTATCTTAATCTCTTTGTAACAAGAGTGAAATTTAGCCTATCGCCAAATGAGGAATACAAAGGCGAATAAGCTTTGGGGGCATTTCTGTGTGGCAAGGGTGCATGGCTGTGACGTGTGACCTGTGAGTTTTGGCCAGAAAAATGGCCCTGACCTTCTGGATGATGAAGTAGCATTGGCCCATGAGCTAGCTGATTGCTCTACCGGACAGCCTTATTGGATGACCACGTTGAGTCGTTGACTAGTGACAACGGGGTTTTGGCCCAAAACCTTTCTTTTTCAGACGCATCATTGCCCAGGTTGAAGCCAACAAGGTTATCAACAAGATTATGTTAGTTAATTATTGGTTAGTAGATCTAACTCTAACAAGATTATGTTAGTTAATTATTGGTTAGTAGATCTATGAGAGTTAGAGAATAGTAATTTGGAAATATTGTACTCATGTATTAATAGATGTTTTTGGATCATATTCTTTGAACCGTATTAAGAAAATGAGGCGACGTCTTCGGTGCACCCAAATTTTTTGATGCATTCAATGCACTCACCTCATAATCGCCATTCTGAGCATGCGAATCATGTAAAAATGATGTCAATTGTCACTTGTGGTATTATGAACAAGAAGCACATGAATTTGTAAAAAAATCATTAAAGATTTACTTTAATTTGAATGATTTAGGGTTAGGATTTAGGTTTACAATTTGGGGGTTTGGGTTGGGATTCAAATTGAAGGTTAATGGGTTAGGGTAATGGACTAATTAGTTGTAATTCTATGTTATATCATCATATTAGACTAATAATACCAATTAAAATTTAATGTATTATGGTCACTTTTAGAGTTGGGTGCATTCAATGCACCCAAAAAAGTGAATGCACCGAAGTAGCCACTAAGAAAATGATCGTGTTTTGTTGACTTCATTATATAGTAGATTCGTTTAGTGTTATAATTAAAAAAATTGTAAAGTTTTAGGCATAATAATATTGGATGTACGGACCGGGTATTACTATAGGTATCCGAAACCCACGAGTATAGAGATGGGTGTGCAAAACATTCTCCCACATTGATACGGACATGTATGAATTTGAATATTTAAATACGGGAACAGAGATGATTTAGGCAAACCTGTCCATTCTCATCCCTAATTACTAGTGTTCCCCCGACTGTCTATTTGGACTAATAGATAGCCGATAGGTTGCCTCTGGGATTAGGAGGGCGGAATTGCTTTGCGGCCTGAGATGAGGCGATCTCAGCAGATAAAGGAACAGAGATCATGTTTCCATTTGGAGATCAAGTTCCCACCTTTTCCACTTTCTTGGGCAAAACGTTTTCTTTGAGAGAAGAGAATGAAGTAATGAACTTCTTTCTGTCAACAACGCCGTCTTGTGGTGTGGGAAGGGTCCTCCAATCGACATATTTATATATTTAAATGCTTGACCTTTTTCTGTGGGGATTTTTTTTAAGGTTTTCCTGTGGGACTCTCCGAATATTAGAAGATGAACTATTTTGACTTTAGTTTCTATCTTTTATTAAATCACGTGACAAGTACAATTAATCAACAAATCTAGTCCAAATAACAGAAGGGTCGATCCAGTGGGCTACAAGTCAGCAAGTAGTTCCACTGTTTATCTGCAGGCTTAAATTTCAGAGTTCAGCTGCTGGTTTTCCTTTCTTTAAGTACATTTTGTGCAGCGCATCACGTTCTGCTACTGCCCATTGCATCTGCTGAGTAATGTCGTGTGCAGTTTCTTGGAATGGAAGGTGTCTGCGGGCTGCTCGCTCTGCCCCACTTCGATTGCCCTTTGTTGAAAGTTGGCTTTATGGTTTTTTTATGTCCTTCTTTATTGTGTTCCTCCTGGCCCTGGGACAGGTTTCTGCAATAGCAGTACTTTTGCACTTTGCAGCAGCTTTTCACACCTTGTGGAGTGCTGGTTTCACTAAGGAATCCGTTCTGTTTATCTATAAGCAAAAAAGTTAAGTATCATTTCACACTCTTTTGGAATGCATTGCATTTTAGTAGTGAATCAGTTTCATTCGTACGCAAGGAAGAAGGGGTAAAAAAATGTACAAAACAATTTTCGCTAGAAGGAGGGCTTGAACCTCCGACCTTGTGGTTAACAGCCACACGCTCTAGCCAACTGAGCTATTCCAGCTTATTCATAATGTATTACAACTTTTTACAATTTAAAAATTAAACGTACGCAAATTAGAAGACCAGGAAATTTATTGGTAGAGGACAACAATTCTAGCTCATAACCCTCCTCAAATTTCCCGTGTTTATAATCCTTTCAACATTTTTCATGCCACAAAATGTTGATAGCCAGACCACCCAAACACCTACGGTTTATATTTCCTTTACCATAGTTTATATTGTTTCAACAACTCAGACATTAGTTTCAATTAATTTTCCATATTGTCAATGGGGGCTGGACAATTCATGACAATATTATTATGGCACATGAGTTACCTTCGGGGAGTAAAAGACTGTCTTTTCCTTCTTTCCCATCGGGATGTAAATCCAATTCCTTCTATCCTTGGTGATTCGATCACTTGTACCCTCTTAGAACTATCATCCGAAAAAAAAAAAGATATCTCATTCATTTATCTTTTGTCCATCTATCATTTCTTCTATCTATGAATCAAGTAGAAAGACTTTTTTATTGGGTGCCAAAAATGGATTTGATCCTTTCTGCCAACGAAATGAACGCGGAGCCCGTTCCGAATGCTTTTCTTATCTGGAAGTTCTCGCGAAAAGAATAAGATGTTGCTCCCCTCCCTCTGTCTTTTCTCGTTTTGCTAATCTTCCCCTCTAACACGGACCGGGCGCTTTCTTTCCCTTATTAGTAAAGGGGCGCGGGAGGAAGAAACCTAAGAGAAAACACTGTTCTCTTAGGTCCTTCTTTTTTCAGATAGAGTAACATGAAACCATTCTAACTTTGTTGTTAGAACCGACCACAATCAACAACCTGTAGAGATTATAGTCGAAGGAACAATATATTATAGAGAGATAGGTACAAGAGAAACGAATGATTTACAACTATTAAGACACAATTCGTTCACCAATTAATTACATCCATAAAGGTGAAAAAGCCAAGTAATGTTTATCATAATTGCTGAACCAACTAAAAATTACATACCAGATAATTTATCTTTATTTGATTCGAATATAGAAAGTAATAGTCACTCGAAGAAAATTTATAAAATAAATTTGTACGAATTCAAATGATGAAAGCATGGCCTTATTAGAAAACAGCTCACTCTAATCACAACAACTAGCTTCTGAGGTTGGATGTGCAGGAGATCGGATGATCGATCCAAAATATGTCTGCCCTACTACATGGGTCGGTTGGTTCGGGTTTAACCATTTTAATCACCCGATCCATGTACTATGATTTGAGAATTATCAAACCCAAACCCACCCAAAAAAATTTAAACCCTACGGTTTGTTTCTAATTGGGTTGGGTCGGGTTGGCAATATTTTTAAGTAAAAACCCAACCAACATAAAATATATAATTATTATACATCATAAAAATATTTTTATAACAAATTAAAATTTCAAACGAATAAACCGAGGTGAAAGGTATCAAAATTCACAAATGTTATTTGAATTTTAATAAAATGTGATTTACTTCAACATATGTCTAGTTTTTTCACGATATTTGTTGAAATAGGCTAAAAAGGTTATAAACAAACGCATCCATAATATATTATTCTATTAAAATTGTACACAAGAAAAAGGATCACGTGAATCAAAACTATATTCAATTTAAATGTCTAAACTTTAAGTCGACGAATGCATTAGATTAGGGAGACCAAGATAGAAAAACATGGCGAAATATCTTAATTTTCTCATAAGTATGGTTATATACGACATAAATATCTTTAGATATGAATTCATACTAATAGTTGGAACACGGGTTGGGTCGGGTTCTACGGGTTGTGTAATCCAAAATCCAAACCCAACCCAAAAGAAGCGGGTTGTACAAAAAAAAAACCCTCACCCAACCCAAAACCTTCGTTTTAGCAATAAATACGGGTGAGTTGAATCGAATTGGACGAGTGGGTCGGTTTGCAGGTGTGTTTGTTCACCCCACCTACTAGGCTAAAGTGCAAACAAACTTGAAGACATTAAATAAAGTTGCATTATTATTCTGATGAAATGAACTGTGGCAAAGGCAGATGCTCATTTGGTTCCCCCATCTCCAATCCATGTAATGATATTCTACATCAAAATTTAACGCGTTTGTATCTCAAAATTCTACATAGCTGTCATCTACCAGTTGGATATCCAGAGGACACGTAAAGCACACAGTGACAATTAATGACACCAAAACAATGGGCAAATAGCGAGAAATTAGGGTGTAAGGGTTGGTTATGAATTGATAAAGACCTACTACGAGGAGATTAATTAAAAATTGAAAACACGATGTTTAATACAACTTCAATTTATGCCGACTCGACTGGTACCAAAACTACCTAAACCCAAAAGAGAGAGAAGCAAAAAGCACGTGTTGGAAAAAACAGAAAAAACGTGCCTGATTAGGCGACGAAAAGAAAACGAAACAGAACAGCAGAAGAAGGAAAAGACCGCACCATTTTCCCTCCTTTCCCCCCAGCAATCACCGCACCGCAAGATTTTTATAATTTTTCACGTGCCCTTTTGTTTCCTTATTTTTCAAGTGGAATCTCGACACTATTTGGTGGTGGGCTGGTGGCGGTGACCGAATAGGCAGCGCGTGTCTCCTAATTACCAATTAAAACAAATAACACACAAATTAAATTAGCCAAAAAGACTGTTTCGTCAAAAGCGGCAAAAGCAAGTTGCAAGTTGCGACTCCCTCTATATATATCCATTCAAATCCCCCGGCTTTCAAAATTCCTTCAAACCAACTTCTCTACTCTTCATCTCTCTTTCATCTTAGCGAATTCTAACTCAATCTTTATATTCGATTAATGGAAATGGGAAGACCCAGCTGCAACCTGGAGCTCAGCCTCCACTCGCCGGCGACTTCCGGCGACGACGACCACAGCCGGCGGGAGGAGCCGCAGCCGCAGCCGCTTACGATTTTCTACAACGGGAGGTACAGCGTCTGCGACGTGACGGAGATGCAGGCCAGGGCGATTATAATGCTGGCCGGCGGCAGTCAGGAGGCGGCGGATGACAAATCGGCGACGAGTCCCGGGGACGAGCAGCGGCGGCGGCGGCCGGCTTCACCGGCGATGTCGGAAACCCCGCCTCCGGCGGTGGGGTTGTCGATGAAGAGGTCGTTGCAGAGGTTCCTGCAGAAGCGGAAGGGGCGAGCGCAGGCCGCCACTGTGGCGCCTTACTCACGCGCCGCCGCCGCGTTTGAGAAGAAGGAGCTTCGGTTTCAGATCGACGGCTTCCAGATCGTTGCTCCCTAACTGAAAAGACTCGTTGTTTTTCTATTTTAGTTTTTTTTTTGTTCTTTGGAATTGTGAGTTTTTTATTTGGGCTACCAATTACAACGATATTATTATTAGTACTGTTTCGTATACGATTGGCTTTTTTTGGGTTGGTTGGTTTATTTTTTTTCCCGGCGAGAGCTTGGGGACGGCAGAGAAATAAACAACTAGTGGGCGGTGGCTAATATTCATTTGAGAAGAGACGAGATGAGGGGTTTTCATTTCTGTGAAGGGGTTAATTTAGAGTTATAATAATGGGGTTGTATAGCTAGGGATAGTGGTATAATCAATTATTCAGTTTGTTTCAACCTGTTTGCACAAAGGGTTTAAATTAGGGGTAAGATTAGACTTTCATGTTAAACTGCCTTGATGAAAGTAGAAAACATTTACAAACAACGATTTATTTTTAAATTTCTGGTGTGAAGAGGCTAAAAGTCTTGATTTACTCCGATTTTATCCGAAAATTATATCACAAACCTAGCCGCAACCGCAAGCCCAACCCTACTCAAACCCACAACCCTACCCACTAAAAAATTGACAATCAAGGAGGCTCCTCTCCGTTTCATCTCTCTATCTCTCACAGTCTCACTTGTTGACCTTAGAGCTGAAAATTTGCTTGTCTCGTCCCTGTCCTGTCCCTGACCCTGTTTGTCCCGTCCCTAAAGGATCAGCTTGTATAATCGACCTGTCCCGTCCCTATTCTCTTCTTTACCCTGTCTGACCCTTTAGAGTCAGGACGAGCCGGGACAACGGGTCGACCCTGTCCAACACAAAATTAATTATCAAATTATAAAAAATCAGAAAATTAATTAATTCATTCATAAAATAATTTATTTATGAAATTATTTCAGAAAATTAATCAATTACGAAATTATTTTCAAAAAATAGTTTTATTTACGAATTTCAGTTCAGAAAATTATTTATTCATCAAATTAATTCCAAAAAATTAATTAATCACCAAAATAATTCCAAAAATTTAATCAATCACCAACATAATTCCAGAAAATCATTTATTTACCCAATTTATTCCAGAAAATTATTTATTTATCAAATTAATTTCAGAAAATCAATCAATTGCCAAGAAGTTAATAAAAATAATCAATTACGAAATTAATTTCAAAAAATAATTTATTTACGAATTTCATTCCAGAAAATTATTTATTTATCAAATTAATTCCAGAAAATTAATCAATTGCCAAAATAATTCTAGAAAATTATTTATTTACCCAATTAATTCCAGAAAATTAATCAATTGCCAAAATAATTTCAGAAAATTATTTATTTACCCAATTAATTCCATAAAATTATTTACAAAACTCCCATAATATATGTGCTTGATGAAAAGACAAGAAAGATGCATTGTGGACGAGGCATCAATTGATAGATAATCATCAATGACATCATTGTTCGATAATAATCAAGTACATCATACTCATAATCACACAATATATCATTGTTAGATAATCATCAATGACATCATATCATGATTACCCAATACACCATTCTTCAATCATGGTTTGTCCAGGTAAACTTTACATGACTTTTGAAAGGAAAAACTAGCCTGCCTATGTAACCAGCTTGCTAAACTTGTTTAACTTGTAGACTCTAGAGCTAAAATGAGTACACTTTTCAACAACGAAAACACCCAGAAGACCAAACCCAGACCACATACATATATGGGTAACCAAAATACCATAACTCAGACCACACATATATGAGCAAATCCACAAAGGGGTTGTTTGGATGGGTTAATTTTTTGTGTGGTATTTATAAAGTGAAATAACTCACAAATCATGAATGTGATATTTGTGTGTTATTTGGGGAAATTGAAAGTTAAATTGTGTTGTTTGGATGGTCCAAATAATGGGTTATTTTTTCTGTGGTATTTGTGAACACAAATTGCAAAAATACTACAATGCCCTCCTTATATATTTAATAGATACCCAATCCCCCACCAACTCCATCTGCCCTTTGCTGTCGAGTCCTCTCCCTCCCAGTGATTCTCATCGGCGATTCTTACCTGGCGGCGGCTTCTGTGCCCATCTCCGACCATCTTCTCCCTCCTCCATTGCTGCTCCATTGCCAGGATAAAGAAACAATGCAAGCTTCTCAATCTGGCCTCGTGAATGGAGTTGTTTTGTGCAAATGTGGAAGTGAAGCCATAATGCAAACTTCCAGTACTCCACGAAATCCAAATCGTCAATTTTGGTCATGCCCGACTTATAAATCGAAGGTATGTTTTTTATTTATTGTATGTATATATAAAGCCCAAAGTTTAACGGCTGGATTTAATGGCTCTTCATCAATAGATATTTGATTATGGTAACATGGAGGTTGCAAGTGCTTTCGATGTACGTTCAAGCTCATGGAAAGGAATTTTTTGCTGTTTGGTTTTCAGGTTGGTCGCTACTGTGACTTTTTTGATTGGTGCGATCTTCGCACCATGAGATATAGAGAGCAGATGCACCTGAAAAGGATAGCCGAGTTAGAGCTTCAACTAGCTGAATTGAAGAAGGAGAACACTAGGCTTCTTAAACAACAATGTTCTTGTGAGTCGAGACACGAGTCCGATTGTGCTAGTGGGGAATGCAACCTTGTCATGGAGGTTGAAGTTATTAAAATAACTAAATTGATGAGTCGATTAACCATTAACTAGTGATGATTGTGTGTTGTGTGTGGTACTAGTGTAGCTGGAAGTTTTTTTTATCTGTAATCATGTTTGTTAAGAAAATTGAGATTGATGTATGTTTGTAAGCTTATTCTGTAACTTTTGTGTAATACTAGTGTTCTATTGTTATTGAACTTTGTTGTGTTAACTGAGCTGATGAGCTATGTCACATGTTGTTGAATGTTTAAGAAAAACCAGCAGTATACTTGCTGCCAAATTGTGTAGAATAATAGGAACAACAGATCTGTTGAAAACCCATAAATACCAGCTCCATAGATGCTGCCAAATGTTGCAAACAACCATCAGTGATTTACAATAATTCCTAATATACTAGACAGGACCAGTAGTGTTGTACAAAAGTTCCTAATATGCTAGAGCTCCTAACCATTAGTGTTGTACAAAAGTTCCTAATATGCTAGAGCTCCTAACCAGTAGTGCTGTACAAAAGTTCCTAATATGCACAGATCACTTCACCAAAGTACTCTACAAAAGTTGTCTTCCATTTGCAAAGACTGTCATCAAGAGTGCGTCTGAATGACAGATAGACAAAAACCATGGGTCTCTTTGCAAAATAGACAACACATGACCTGTTATAAACTTATATAGCTACATATCCTAACTTTCTTCAATTTGACAGAAGATCAAGAACAAGGGTCAGCCTGTTTCCTTCGTCCAGTTCATAGAAACTCTTCAAATCTGACGGTGTGGCATTGAGTCTCCTAAATCCCTGCACCTTCTGTAGTTGGGTGAGGCCCTCGAGCTTGGCCAAATTTGTCATCAACTCCTTTCGCATTTTATCATGCTCGTCACTCTCTCCTAGAGCTCTAGCAATTGTGTCAAATGACTCCTTGATCAGCGGCCTCATTAGTGCCATTTCATTAGACATTTCAGGGCCATTATCATCAGATGGTGCTTCTGGACCTTTCTTCTTCTTTGATGATCCACCATGGGTAGTCTTGGCTGGTCTCTTCTTCTGGTTCTGATTCTTCTCCGCCAAACCCTCATTTATGATATTAAACATGTCTTCATCCGTTGCAGGAGGGACCATACCATCCATAAAGAGCGGATGGTCTTCATCATCCTCCGAGCCACTATCAGAGGCATCAACATTAATATCCGGATCATTTCCTGTATAGTTAACTACGTTAGTATGAACAAAGCAATAAACATAAATAAGAAACAACCATATTAATTCCAAATGACAATTCTGGACCTGAGATTACTCCACTTCCGGTGGCACGTCCATTGGCGAACACCGGTGCAAGGTCATCGAATTGTGGGAATGGAAGTCCCTTATAGCTTTTACAGGTTGGGTTTTGCTTCAAAGTATAAAAAGAAGTCAGCAATAAATACAAGTACAACTACCAACCAAACATCAAAATTTTGTCATTAAAATCAAAACATAAATGACAGGACATACCGCAATGAATATGTCCCAAACTGCCTTGTCTGCATTTATACATTCTTGCACCGGATCCCAACCAAATCCGCTTAGCCCACGCATCATGACGGTCGAATGAAACCAGTGTTTCAGCTTCTTGAACCTATTCTGAATCGTAGGCTTTGCTTTTAGACCACATCTGGGCACTTTCTTCTCCATCATCTTTTGTATCTGCTTAAACACACCGTTCTTGCAAGTTCCATTGGTGATGAATCCTCTCTCTGTCAGCTCCAGCAAACATTCCAGGAAGGGACCATCATGGGCTGTATCCCAGAATTGTATTCTGCTTTGGAGTCATCTCCCGTCTCCCCAACAAATTTCTTTCTCCTCCCCATACCTGAAAACATTCATACATGACATGGCATTTATCAATGGCAGAATATAAACATGTAACTCATTTTCACTAGTAATAGCACGCAAAAGTGAGATAAACATGGTATAAGATAAACAGTTTGGCAATTTAAACAACATTACAAACCATGTTTTGGAGACATATGTCCTACATTACATATTAATAAACTGACAAAAGGGACAACTTGGTAGCATTCAATGTTTCTTCTACCAGATCTACCAAACAAACCATAAAGTTCAGCACCCTATTGCTCTGCCAAAACATGAAAAATTACAAAAGGTACCAAAACAAATCATAACATGTCTATCTATTTGCCCACATAGTAGTGGCCTTTTCATTGCAAAACTGGGTCCATTGTGCGCACGGTTGCATGCTACTACCATCAATGGTCTCCACATCGATTGAAGGAATCTGTTCGGGCTCTTCGTCCTGGTAATTTCTTTCAATCTCATCAACCCCATATTCCTTCTTGATAAAATTATGTATTATACAACAAGCTATAACTATTCGGGACACTTGCTCTGGAGTGAACCATGTTGCATTTCTCAAAATGGCAAATCTCATCTTCAGAACTCCGAAAATGCGCTCTACTACATTCCTAGCAGATGAATGTTTTATGTTGTAATACTCCTCAGCTGTTTCAGATTGCCTGTTACCCCAATCTTTGAGATGGTATCTTTGACCCCTATATGGGGTCAAAAATCCAGGGCTGTTCGCATACCCGACATCACATAGATAGTAATTTCCTTCATTCAAAAGTATATATAGATTCAGTTATGCTATTCATTGAACAATATCAGACGTAAGTTCCATTGAACTATATTCAAAATGTTGTACCTTCAGGCACAACAAGGCCATTTGGTCTAGTGAGAGCATCCTGAAGCACCCTACTGTCATGAGCACTACCCTCCCAACCAGCAAGACAGTATATTAATAGAAACAGGTATCTAGGTTTGTCCTCAGTCAACGGACGAACTTGAATATGGGTTCCATCTAGGGCCCCTAGGCACTTCTATTAATAGAAACAAATAGGTGTTAAAATATAGTGTTGTTAAACATAGCAAAGTTGAATAAAAAGATTGAAAATACATAAAATTTGACCTTAAAATGCTTCCACCTACTGCTGGTACAGTTGTTAGGAATAGGAACCGACTTCTTCATCAGCAGATTGTTCAATCTAATAACAGCCTTCAGCACACGATGAATTGATCGAGATATAGTCTCACCAGATCGTCGCAAATTCAATTGCAAAGTCCTATTCTTTTCGTTATGTGAAATGGTACGGAGAAAGGTATAAACCATCTCCTCAATGTCTACGTTCCTAGTTTTCTTCAACCCTCCTTCTACAATAAGAACCTCACAAAACCTTCTAAATAATGTACGATTCATCCTGACTTGGTCAAAGGTATAGGTGTCACTTAATCTGGTTGTGTTTCTAAGGTGCCTTTGCCTATCATAGTGCCTAACCAAGTATCTATCCAATGGTTTCCTAGCAAGTCGAGGTCTAGAGTGTCGTTTCTCTAAAATTTTAGCCAATTACATCCCTAGACTCACATATATCACAATCAGATTCATAAAAGCGCTAATTGCAGCAACCACTTGTCGCCTACGCGTCGGATTCAATGCGGACAAACGCGACATCCCTTACAAGACAGGAAATTTTGAATTAGTCATTTACATGAAATCCATAACTTTTATGGAACGTCTTACTAAGCTTCCCAATGGTTTGCATTAAACAATATCTAGTGTTCCCAAAAGCCTGATTGAGAAGACCGAGCCATTTCATGAACATTGCAGAAAAGCACCCAAAACCAAATTGAAAGGGAAGCAGATGGTTCCATAATAGCAGTAAGTGGTTCCATAACATACCAATAAATATAAATGCCCCAAGAAACAACAACAGACCAATAAATCGACATCACAAATGGTTCCATAACAGCAGACCAAGCGAGTTGCCAAGAAAAACCCTCGGCCAAAACCGAGAAGGAGAGCGCATCACAACACATAAAAATGAACCAAACAGAATAATCAGGAGAACAACACCCTAGTTTCAGATTGAATGTACACAAACTCCGTAGATATAGGATATCTGATGAATCCTTGTATTTAAAACCCTTTTCTAACCCTAAATCGGAAAATACTTTTGTGGAACATGGCAAGACAGGGGGAGGAACATGATACGAGAAATATAGAAGAAGATTCACTCACCGACCCTAGCAGACGATCCTCTAACTCCGACAGCTTCCTTGTGCTAAGCAGTGATTGCTCTGTTCACTCGTGAGCGGTTCGCCTGGAGAGAGTGACGGGAGCAAGCAGAATGAGAAGAAAGAAGAAGCCAAAGGGGAGTCTGTCTCGAAATGATGCAAGCAAGAACGAAGTGGGGTTTCCAAAAATAAGCAGGGACAAAACTGGAATAAAAAAGCCCTCAAAACGCATTATTTATGAATAACTCCTCCCCATGTGGTATTCTAAATACTGCATTTATGAGTTATTTATAAATAACTCATGATCAAATAACGCATCTCATTATTTCCCCACCCAAACGAGTTATTTCGGCCGGAATAACTCATAACGAGTTATTTCGGCCGAAATAACTCGTTTGAATACCCCATCCAAACGACCCCAAAAATCAAAGCAGTAAGAGTAGCCAGAGACCACCAATCTTGGGGCTGAAACAGAGACAATGAAAGAAGGAAACCGAAGAAACATACTTATAATTGATGCAGATTTTTGACCAACAACTTATTCTCCAAGGTCCTGTTGGTGACGAAGTATCGTGATGGGATTCTCCAACCGTGCCGCCGACGAGGAAGCACGACAACTAGGCTGGACGCCCTGATGGAAGTCGCCAAGAATCGGTGGAGATTTTAGGCTGTAGGTTTCCCTTTCAGTCGATCAGAAGAATGGAGAAGAGGTATCGTGAAGTGGTGAAGGGATTTTCCAACCGCGCCAACGATGAGGAAGCGCAACGATTGGGCTGGACGCCCGGACGGAAGTCGTCGAGAATCGGTTGAGATTTTAGGGTGTAGGTTTTCTTTAAGTCGATGAGAAGTGAGAACCGAGGCGAGAAGAATGAAGAAGGAGAAGTGTATTCTTTAATTTCTACGGGTCTGTTTTCCGGGTCATAGGGTCAGGTGAGTTTTTTAGGGTCTGAGTGTAGTTTGACCGGTCCCTTATAGGTTCAAGGGGAAGACCCGTCCCGAACTTGTCCCTCTATACAGATTGACCTGGCCCGACCCTTCGGGATGGGACGGGTTGCCAGGTTTTAAGGGTCAGAATTTCACCCCTAGTTGACCTCTATACCACATCAATCCTTCTACCCCACTTTCTTCCTCCTTTGATTCCTCATATCCTCGATTCAAAAAGTGCCTTTGAGGAACCTGATTTCCAACAAAATGATTCTCTAATGCTAATTTCGTTCTCGATTAAGATGACTCTTACTCAATCTATCTGCATATGTCTCCGTATACGACTCTCATCCTCTCACCTTAACCATCGAGGGTAGTCATCAACGCAGACATGTAGACACCTTCATCCTCCCACCCAAACTCGACCATGAAGCAGCGGCGGATCCAGAACACAGAAGTGCACTGGGCCGCATTTTGTTAGAAAATTAGAATAGTAAAAAAAATATAATGATTATAATTTTTTTACAATGTAAATTGTACACGACGGTATTTTAATTTAGCGAATGCATTAATAATGGAGTTCACATACATACCAATAGTATACACTCTTTCAAATAAAATACTTGAGCAATCGACTAGAAATCCATCGCTCATTTTGTTGCGCAAATCAATTTTCACATGTTTCGTTGTTGAAAAGGTTCTATTCGTATTAGCTGTTGAGACGAGCAGCATCAACACTAGACAAATCAATCTACTAATCAATTTGCATTGTATTTCCATCTCTATATCCACCAGCTGCTCTAGTAAAATTTCCAAGGTAACAAACCTCATATATGTTTTAGTCTTTTACGTTTTAAACTTTTTGAATTTTTAGGTTTCATTGTTTTTTTAGACGAATAACTTTTGGGGTTAGAATTTATAAGCTAAATTTAGAGTAGTGATTTTGAATATGTTCATCTAAATTATTTTTCTAATTATACCCAATCTTATTTTAAAATAACAACGACCCGAATATCTAAAATCGAAAAATTCACAAGGCCTATACTAACTATGGATTCAGAGGAGGGCTGGGCCGGGGCCCGGGGTGGCCACCCCCTGGATCCGCCACTGCCATGAAGTGCCAACCACCATGACGGTGGAGAAGGACGATCAATCTTTCTTCATTCTTTCTTTCTTTCGCCCTCCCTTCATCCTTCCTCTCTCTAACCTCTGTCCGCGTCTATGTTTGTGTTCGCCTATCTGTTCACGATATGCGTGGTGGTGGTCGGAAGTAATGTGGGTTAGGGATGGGTTGGAGGAAGGAGGAACAAAGGGAGAGATAATGGTGGATAGGGTGGCAACACCATGGGGAATGGAAGAATCGGGGAGGATGAATTAGGGATTGTGGATCGACATTTTTCTAGTGGTTTTAATTTATTTAGTTTATTTTGAGTTAAACAACGATATTTTTAGAAAGAATTAAGTCATTTCTATTTTTGGATTAAAGCATGACCAAACCAAAACTATTTGGTCCGGTTTTATTGAAATTATTTAAGAAACAATCCAGCTTTTCATTCCTATTTTTTAAGAAAACCAGAAACTAGGTTAATCCATTTCGGTTTAACCGAGTGGGACCTAATCGTACCCCTAGTTTATATGCCTTGTGAGTTGAATGATCTGGAATATAGTTCTTATATATTATCGTTACATTTCATTTTGGTTCTTAATCTATTTTATTTCCTTTCTATCTAATGCTTACATTTTATCAATCATCAAATCAAACATCAAACAATCACTATATGGAGGTTGCACTCCAAAACCCTCTCAATTTCACTTTTCCTTGCACCGGCGCATAGGACGGAGGGGTTATTTCGTAAAAACAAAAAACTGTTAGTGATTTAGTTCATCCGGGCGTCCATCGGAGCATCTCACGTTTCCGTTTCCATGAAAAGTCTATTATTATTTTTTTTATATTCAATAGGTCTATTATTAATATTATACTAATCATATTTTACTTCACGTACTTTATCACAACATGTGGTTTAATATTGTTTTTTCATTGGTATAACCGATGTAGAGAAGAGCAAATAACTTTTATGTTTTATCAAAGAAATCGGGGTGGATCCATGATTCAATCAGAAAAATTTAATTATATTTAATGCTAAGTTGATAATTTGTATTTAGCAGTATGAAATGGCTAAATCACGATTAAATTAAAATTTTAACATAAAAATCATTCCACTGATTTTTATGGTACTTATATGGTTTAACCATCCTTAATTTTTTCCCCTACAACTTCTAGCCAAAATTCACTTCCTTCCAGGTCTTCTTCCATCGAAGATAGTCATAAAGCTAGGAAACTTGAATTATTTGTTGCTTCAACTGCTTCGCTTTGGAGAGTACCAGTAGCAGTGTATTCAGACAAATGTCATCTATACTAGAAACTACAAAATAGAGTTAAAGTAATTATTTTTATGTTTACATGTTCATGTTAGAGCCAAGCCATCATAAACTATTTTTGCTTATATTATTTAGATTGCTAGCTCTAAAGATAGAAACTTGAATTATTTGTTGTTTAACTGCTTCTCTTTGGCGGGTACCATTAGAAGTGTATCCGGGTAAACAGGGGCGGAGCTATGTAGGCTCTCGGGCTTTCGAGAATTTTGAAACTTACGTATAAAGTCTTAGGAAATTCCGAGAATTACATATAAACTCAATCTAACGAGTATATAGAATCTGAGTGAAATATTCTTAACAACATAGATTTCCAGTCTAGCGGAGAAGCTACCCATTTGTAGCTACAAGGTTCAGGGTATCGACCCTGATACACAACATTGCTTTTATAATTTTAACATTTTTTTTTCCAGTTTAATCCTCTAATTTTTCTATTTTGTCTTATAAATCCTATAATTTCAAATAAATTCAGTCAAGTTCTTAAACTTTTACATTCATTGCTTTTATTTTTAACAATTTTTTTTCAGTTTAATCCTCTAATTTTTCAATTTTGTCTTATAAATCCTATAATTTCAAATAAATTCAGTCAAGTTCTTAAACTTTTACATTCATATTTTCAAAGATTTTTTTTTATATGTAATTAATTAATTTTTAAAAACAATAATATAATCATAAATTCATATTCAAGGTATAAAACAATTACATGTTAAATGCATGATAATTTTTGCTCACAGTATAAACATTTATTTCGAGTATAACATACTAGCAAACTATAAATTATTTATATTTTGAGTTTATTTATTTTAATTAATATGTGTCGTTATTATTTATTTTTATCATTGGATTTTCACGATAATTTACTAAATAAATCCCCCCCCCCTCAATCCTGGCTCCGTCCCTGCGGGCAAAAGATCATTTATATAAGAAACCATAAACTAGATTTAAGAAATTAATTTAGGCTTCCATGTTCATGTTTTAACACATCCATCTTCTACTATTTTGCTTACATTATTGAGACTAATATTGTTGGCGACTAATTTTTTTTGTAGTTCTATGCCTCGAAGAAATATTTTTCGTGGA